CATCGGCTTGGTTGGTCACAACGTCTCTTTTATTTGTTTCAACACATGGTCCAGGTCCAAGATTACAGCTTCCAGGATACATTTCTCAGGTGTATAAGTAAGTGTCGCAGGGCACTTGGCACCTTGGTTGGAGGTCATATGTTGAAGATTTGATAATGGTTTTGTTCAGAGGGGACTCCAGTTCATATTTGGATGCTTCCAGTAATGGTGGAAGAAAAGAAAAGATCACAGTTATTTTTTTCCCTAGTCTATATATATTTTATACCATTGCACTGAGTACTTTCTAATAAGCTTCAGTCTATTTCAGTAAAAATCTACATATTACTTGTCTAACCAGAGTTTAATGTTAATTTCTATTTGTGCAGCCTGGCGCAAGCTTTCAGGATAAAGAGCACTAACCTATATTCTATGCCAGAGGCAGACAGTTAATATGGCTATCCCTGTCACACTCCTTTCTTAGTGGTATCAACAGTCCCATTCCCAGAATGGTTAGTTTAGTGGGAGTAGAGAAGGAAGAGATACTGTCCAGAGTGTCATCCAGCTGACTGCAGGAGGGGGCTGTTCTGCGCCTACCAGAAAACCACCAGATAGCTGTCTAAGGTGCTGAAACTGAACGCAGCGGAGTTAACAGGGACAGCAAAGCGGCCACTAACGGATCCTTAATCTGCTTCTCATCAACTTCCAGGGAAGTAGAATGACTGTATAGAACTGGGGACCTGTTTTAGGATTTAACCAGGGTAGTAACCTACTGGTAGTGCAATGCTTTCATAGTGTCCCAACTATGGACTGTGATGGCAGTAACACCATTTGCTCTGGGTTGAAACACTGAGTCTTAATTTGGGGTGCACTGTTTGTTGAGATAACCCCTGAAGAGGAGACAGTTCCTGGAACTGTGTGTTCCTCCTATATTTCTCACTGTTCATCTTATTACTTAGCTGCTATATAATAATTACTTTCTGGAAACTACTGATTGTCTTCAGAGGTAATATCAAAGTGTGGACTAGACAGAATCGGACTGGCTTGTAGTTGATGACAATAGTGATTCCATGTCTTAAAATATATTGAATACTTTGTACTTAATATTAACTATTATCTTCATTTTAAGTACAGGTAAACTGAGGTATGAGGTGGTTATATTAATTGGCCAAAGATGTGGATCCAGGGTTAGAATTTTATTTATTCTGATTCTGAATTTCTAGTTTTACTCTTTTCCATGGTTACTCATTAACAAGGAAATTATTAAAAATCTAAGGGGGAAATCCTCTAATATATGAAAGGGATTATTTCTTCCATGCTGTTACTCCTCATCCTTAAATAAACAATAGCCTGCACTTGCTCGGCACTTTAGAATTACTTGCACATACATTTCCTCCACTTCCTAAGTCATGAGATTGTTACACCACTGATTCCTGCTGAGGTCAGTAGGCAGTGGTGACTCGGGCCCTTACACCTCTTGCTCATTTGGATTATATTAAGCATTTCTGGAGCTTTGAATTCATGATGTTACATGTTATGATGATGGCAAGAGCAGTCCATAGATACTTGATGACAATTTATTCATTATGATCACACATAGGCGGCCTTTGAGCCAAAGGTAATTTTTATTTGGACTTCAATCTAAAAAGAAATGAGCCCCTAGTCTGGTATGATTTACCATCTGATGCTATGTCCTGAAATTCCACTGAGATTAGTGGTCTTAAAGTATCACAGTACATCCCTGACTTTACAGTACATGAAGCTATTATATGGCTTAAGCAATGAGGGCATGGCCCTGTATTTTTAATTCAAGTGTCTAGATATTTTAGGGAACATTGGGGTAATTTAACCTATCATCAAGTTATCAGAAAGGTTCTAGTAGAGGCTCTGCCACTGGGTCAGCCTTCTAGGAGTGGACATAACTCAACCATTTCAGTATTGGAGTGAGGTTATCGTAATTCAGTTTTTACATATAGCCAGTTCTTGAGTAGATAATTAAACCTCCTCCACCATGAAACTTGAAAATAAGGAACAAGAAGGCATGGTATGAGAATCCACCTGCCCCCTTTCCCCATCTGACTGTGATGCTGAAGTGCAGTGGAATTAACCAAAATACTGAATGTAGGAGGAACACCTGGGTGAGCTACACCCTGGAAAATCGATACCTAAGTCATCAAGGGTTGATTGTACTTTCAGGAGAATAGGTAACTTCCCACATAAAGCTGAATTTCTAGTACAAAGAAGCAGCCTTCTATTTACCACTTGCAGGAACAACATGCAAATTTGATCACTTTTTGGAGGGAAAGATTAAGTATTCTTTTGTCAACAGTAAAATCCATACATAGCTATTGCACTACCAATAGGTCAAGTCACGCTCCAAATGCCCATGTGTTTCTAGCTACTGCTACTGGAAATAGCTCCAACTGCACCCTTTACTAGTACTGCTAGCTTGGTCTTCCGGGTTTAACTAAGTGTACAACATTCATGGTGTATCAAAGAAGAATTATCCACAGACTGGGATGAATCAATAATAGTCTGTGCACACTGTGGGGCAGTGGGGAGTGGCAGTGGAATTTGCATGTCATTTATTTGAAATGAAGAATAAATTGCTGTATGTGTGCACATACACACATCACAGGGTTGCAGCCAAATGGAAAGGGCAAATAGGAATTAAGAGTTGAGGTCTGTAGTTAAATGATCAGAATTGGCACACTCATCTTGACCTGTCAGTGGTCTTCACTTTGTCAAATGGAACTGATACTTCAAAGAAACTGCATGGTTATTTCATCTATTTACACATTTGTTTATCTGTCCAGCTGAACTGTCACTGACAATAGGAGCAGCATTCTTGGGACAAGAAAAAGGAGAGGGATCTCTCAGATAGTCAATAGTTAAAAGGACATGTTAAAAAAATAAAAAGCCAATAGCAAGTGTGGCATCTGTGATATGCAAAACAACCAATGAAAATGTTCAAAGGCATTATCAAAGTAAACATGAGACCATTAAAGGAACTGCAATAGCAATAAAAAGATAAAAGAAGAAGTTTAGCAACAGTGGCCTTAGTTTGCCCTGACCTGGTGGCTCAGTTGGTTGGAGCACTGTCCCATACACCAAAAAGGTTGCAGGTTTAATTCCCAGTCAGGGCACAAACCTAGGTTGTGGGTTCGACCCCTAGTCATGGCACATATGGGAGGCAACCAATTGATGCTTCGCTATCAATGTTTCTCTCTCTCTCTCTTTCCTTTCCTCTCTAAAAATCAATGAAAACATATCCTCAGGTGAGGATTTAAAAAAAAAAAAAAAGAGTGGCCTTAGTTCTAGGGTCATCTACCTTTTACTGATTGGTAAAAGACCAGGCCCAGTTCTGCAGAAGAAAGTCGTATAGCTAGACAGTGCCTTCGGAATGACAATGGTGTCCTGCACAAGTGACACCCAGCAGGGCAACTGCACACATAACACCCTTTTGTTTTACCCTAAACAGATAAAATATTCCATGCAGTATTATTCCATTCCCCACAAGCAGAGGTCAAAGACTTCAGAATGAGAAAGTAATGAATAACACGATGGCTTTCTCATCATGAAGGTTATGTTTGGTTAGGTTACAGAGCAATGAAAATGTTTTGCTTCCATGGGCCCCCTCCTCACAATGCCTGTCACTAGACTGTATCTTAATGTTTCTGCAGTCTCTTGGAGTTTGAGAGATATTATAATAGTGTTTGCACCAAGGTTAACCTGACGCAGTAGGAACAGGTTACTGACAAGTCTATGTCATCTTATTTGACCCACAAGGTTCCCTAAGGGCTCCCTTTGTTCTCGTAACATTTCATTTTGAGGTGATGTCAGGTCAGGTTCAAGGGACCACATGAGGCACTTGACCCCTTTGTTACTCCTAACATCTGGACCTGGAAACCTGTTGCTGGATAAATCTAGCTGAGCAAATCCCCAGACAATGTCTATTCACTCAGGTGTCATCGGGTCGCACCTGTCCCCTGTCCCTCACACACACACCTGGTCATGTGCTCTACAGGAACATTACTTGTTTGGAATAAGAAGAAAACTCTGCAAAGCTGCTAGTTTTGGAAGGCTGCTCATCCCTCCAGAATGCCAACAACTTTAGTTTGGCCTCTTCTCAAACCAAGCAAACCTGGTGCACATCCAGGATGTAGCAACCTGCATTATGTCCAAAGGGACCAGCATCTTCCAGGAAGCTCAGAATGTGGCCAACACCAGCAAACCGCCTGAACTGAAAGCACCCACATTCGGATTCAAACCACCTCAACACACATTTAGAGAGTGCCTACTGTGTGCAGGGTAAGGTAGCAGGTCCCTTTTCATTTGGGTCAAGTTCAAACAAGAAAAGAACCTGGGTTGGATGTGGGATGTGTGTGTGTGCGTGTGTGTGTGTGTGCACACTTGCAAACACAGGTTTATATGGGTATTGATACTGGATGGAAAATGTGGCTTTTTATTTTTCTGGGGTTCCCCCCCATCTAAATTGGGTTTTATGATTGTGTAAGGTATTTAGGGAAAGAATGACTGTTTTGGCAAGTTGTGGGCAGCTCTCTTTCCTTGTCTCCCAGCGGCTTCCTCAGACAGAAGGAAAAGAGAGAGGTGTGCCGAGGACCCCAGCGGCGAGGGGCCCATTCCCCAAGCCTGACGCCCTCTCTCCCGGAGGGACCCTTTGCTGGCGGTTCACTGTTGGCCACTTCAGTGCATTTGACTCCCACCCCCCTGTGAACACCTGAGATTGAGCGTGGATTTCTGGTCTCCACCAACTCTGCAGCAAGGGCCCTGCCAGAGGTGTTGCTTCCTGTCATCTCAGCTTCCTTCTCCCAAGTAGAGGCACCTAAACAGAGATTAGATTTCTGGTTTCAAGGCATATCCAACCAAGCACGCCGAATGAACATGAGTTAGTTAATTAGCTCGGTCTCTCTTCTCTGCGTTCCCTGGTCTCAGCGTTCCTCGATGGCAAAGTGACCAGGAGAGAGTCGGTTTGCGTCTTAAGACCTATGGGTAATGCTTCTGGAGCGGGGAGGTTTATTTAGCAACTGCTCGAACTTGTGTACGGGGTTGGGAAGGAGGTGGAGCTGACCCCGATTGGGCTGTCGGACAGCGGGGTGCGGGTGGTGCCCACCGCCACGCTGCCGCCCCGGGCCTCCAGGATGGCAGAGAGCAGCTGCTGCTGCTGCTGGCGCAGTGTGTCGGCGAGGAGCAAGGGCAGGGAATTGCAGCTGGCAGCGAGGTGCTCCAGCTTGGACTCCAGGCTCCCGATTTGCTTCTCCAGGTCTTCGCTCCGCTCGTTGAGTTCCGTGATTAAGTCATACATGACGTTCTGCATCTGTAGGAGAGGCAGAGAGACAGGGAGATGACAGGTCATCACAGACAAATCTGCAACAGGAAAAATGAAAAACTCCTCCAGATTACAACAGGAGCAACTTCCACTCCAGCCAGGCCTGACGTGGCCAGGGAGCAGCAGCGGCTCACTTTCCTGGAAGCAACGGAGGCTCGTTACAAAAGCATGCATATTAATTACACAAAGATATTAGAGAATGTGTATAATGGGAAATAATCAGCACTTTTTTCTTAAATGGAGTGTTCTTATTATACCCAACCTTTCCGTTCACATGGTGCTAGCCCGTAACGATGGAGGAGAAGGCACTGTGCTGGGGAGGGGACAAAGCAGCAGACTTATAGTCAGTAGGCCAGGGTTCGAGTACAAGTCTGCAGCTCACTCATAGTGTGCCCTCCCTCAGGCCCCTTAACTTCTCTGAACCTTGGTTTCCTTATAAAATAGGAATTAATAAAAACAACACGTAGTTATGAAGCTATTGTCCCCCTGCCCATTTTCAACACAGCAGCCAGGATGTATAATGTATAACGTAACTCACTCCTGGGCCTGGGCCTTAGTGATAGGGAGCTGAGGGGACAGCCCTGCCCTGGCCTGGTCAGTGCGGAGGTATATTGCCTCAGTCAGGGACATCCCTGAAGGGCCAGTCCACCTCCAGAGCTCCACAGGTCATTGAGGACTTTGCCAATCATATCACAGTTTAAACTTTCCCTCTGCCCTGTCCCGCTTCCCTTACTTCCGGACAGGTGCCCCCAGTAACCTGTGCTCAGTGCTATTCTCCAGTGGCCCAGGGACCCACCCAACCATCTGTGCTCCCCGCTGCATCCCATGCTTGACAGCCTGGCCTCCAACAAGCACCCTGCTCAATACCGCACCTTGTCCCACCCCTACTGCTGACCCCACCAGCCCTGCTCAGCTCTTTCTGTCTCCCGTGTCACCTTCGCATGCAGGAGAAAACCTGCTATTGCTTCAGATTATTGCTGTTGTCTGTCACCTTCCACTGGAAGAAAAGCTCCTCCAGGGTTGGGTCGTTTGCCTGTTGTGCCCACTAATGTGTCCCAGGGGCCTCAAACAGCATCTGGTACATAGTAGATGCTCAATGAACATTTTCTGATGGACAAATACACATAACGCAAGGGGGTCTGGTGCACGACTGTCACTAAAAGATGTTGGTAGAGCAAGTGAACAGATCAAGTGCTGGCACAAGTAAAAATCCCCGTCCCCGTCATCCTGTGGCCAAAGCAGCACTTTCAGTGATGGGAACAGACCTTTTCCACCACCAGCTATTTCCATATACTCCTAAGGTTTCTCAGTGTTTACCACCAGGACCTGAGTGTGAAGGAAAGCAGCCCAGGGCCCAGCCAGGGCTTGCTCAGAGCGGGTCTCACGAAGCTTCTGTGAATGGATGCAAAAGAGGTCAGGAGAGCAGGAGAGCAAAACTGGGGTTGCCTCCAGGAAACTGAAAATAAAATAGATGTAAAAGTCATAAAGTAAACTGGCCTTCAAAGTTAAGTCATAAAACCAGGTCAGAGCAGAGCTAAAAAGGGAGCTCACCCCAAGGGCACCATTTTCCTCCCCAAATCTGCTCTTTGCCAAAGCTCCGTCTCCCTGCGAGGCGGTGCCGTCCGTCAAGTTGTCCTGACCAGGAACCTGGACGTTACCCTCGTCCTCGCCCCTCACATCTCACAGTCCAAAGTCCTGCCCACTCGGCCTATAAATATCCCTCAAAGTCAACTCATTTAACAGCAACTAAACCACTTTGTTCCAACCAGAACCACCCGGCAGCCTGGGAGGCACTCAACCCAGTTCTGACTCCACGGTTTGGACTCACTCTTAGCAGGCAACATCCTTGGCTTCCCGGGTGCGTGTGTAGAGCCCTCATCTAGGTGACAGCCACATCTTTCCCACAGATTAGCATTTGATATCAGACTTGGAGCAAGGTTCATAGGCGTCTCCACACTCCCAGGTGTTCCTGCGGCTGCAATAGCGAGGGCCAGCTCGCCGGTGACTTTGTGTGCCCCCACCAGCTACCGTGGCCCTTGGGCTTTGGTCACTGCCAGTGACACCCTGATCTCATTTCATCTGAATCGGCAAATTACTTCAGAAGACGCCGAAGCCTTGGCGCCCTCGGGGCCCAGGGAGTAGGAAATAAGGTGAGAGGGAGAAAGAGGAGTAAATGAAGGTGGCAAACGTGAAAAACCAGAGAGAAGGTGGGGAAGGGAGATAGAAATGTAGCAGTACCTTCCCAGCGGCGGACAGGCCTACGAGGGACTGACTGGGGCCCTGACGGAGCTGTCCCAGAGGTGGAATGAAAGCAGGCTGCCCTCGCGAGACAAGGGTACTCCCCTGGGCGCCCTCGGGAGAAAGGGGGGCTTTGGAAGTGAAAGTGCTTCCTTCATTAATCAACATTAAAGAGCCACCCCAAGGTGCCCATTCTTCCCGGAATGCACAAAACCACAAATAGATCTGACCGCAGGGACACCCCGATGAGTTCTGGGCTGAGTCTGGGCCCCTGGGTCGCGGCCCCAGCTCTGCTGATCGCCGACGGCCTGACCTTGGGATGGTCACTCTGTGCCTTTGGATCTTGGTTTTTCTCATCTATAGTCATAATCAAAACTACCGTTTGCAAACCCTTTACAGTTGGCAAGGCATTTTCGCAGATGTCATTTCGTTTGATCACTTCAGCCTCAGACGTTAGGGATTGTTTTTACATTTCAGTTGAGGAAATTAAAGTTAGCAAATAAAGAGCTCGAGCCCTCCCAGCCCTGCCACCCTGTATTCAGTGCAATGGCCACATGACATTTCCTTCATCTAGAAGGGACCAAAGGGCAGGGCCGGAAGGCGGAGAGCTGGGAGGATGAAGCGCAGAAAGAAAAGCGAGAGAACACAGCATTATCTCCCTGTGGCGTTGCTTGGTGACAGGAGGCCAGGGGGATGCAGACCAAAGGGAAATATGCTAAGCTGCTGCCAGGACCTGTGTGACTCCCTGGGAGGAAGAGACAAAGCTCGGGTGGATGTCAGCAGTCCCCGTTTCTCCAGGTCTTACATCGCACCTGCCCGGCAGCCCTGCAGAGGTCTCCCCTTAACTCTCCCCTCTATCCCCTTTCGATCCAGGGAACTTGCTCCCAGATTATTGATGATTACTTCCCCCATCCCGTTCGCATGAGCCTCTTTCCAGTTCACTGAGGTTTATGCTTCACCCGGTGTTCTGTGCCGGGCTGTGGGCAGACCGAAGAAATGCAGGCTTGAAAGTCCCGTTTGCCTGATGGGCCCTGGAGCACTTCCTACCAGGTGAGAGGTGAGGCAGGAAGCATCACTACTTCTAGAAGAAACTTCTTGGGTTATGTGTTGGGCTATTCCTGCATCACACAGGGTGGGCCCCCGGGCCATGTTAGTCCCTCTTCCTGACCACAGCTGATAGGTCCAAAGGTGGACACGTGACTCAACCAGCCAGTCATCTCATCTCTTCTGAGAGGGTAGAACGAAGATCAACAGCCAGCCAGTTGTCTTTGCCTGGGGCTGGAACAGGGGCCTGCCTCGGTCTGCTGTGGAGGTCACAGGCATAGCAAGATGTCAGGGCCAAGGGGGTGGGGGGCTGAGAAAAAGAGAGAGAACTGAAGCCGGCACTTGAACAGAAGGAGAGAGCAGAAAAGGTGAGAGAAGATTTCCTGGTGCGAGGGCTTTCCAGGTTGGGTTCTAGTTCATTCCTTCCTGAAGTTGGACCACATGCCTGCTTTGAGGTTTTGCCTGGAACGAGACTTTGTTGTAGCTTTATAACAAATGCCTCTATTTTTAAAATGAGTCCTGGTGGTTTTCTGATATGGGACACACCCAAGACCCCAGGGGCTCCCTCCTTCCCTTCACCTGCCCCCTCCTCCAGGTTCTCAGGAGCCCTGCACTCCACCTCAGCAGCCCATCCGAAGGCACACCGGTCTGTGGCTTCTTCCCTGTACTAGCCACGCATTCCCAGGCTGGAGTCGCCTCACCCCTGGGGCTCGGGAGGACCTTTCTCTGGCTTGACCCCTTCCTGGGATAAGGTGCCAGCAAAGGGCTCAACACCTGCAGTTCTGCGATTGCCTAAGGGGGCTTCTCTAGCTCACCCAGGGAGCCATGTGCCATTATTGACATCTGCTGGAATATTCTGCCGGCCTGGCCCTGGGCTGTACACTTGATACACAATTTCTACCAGGAGTCAGTGAGGAGAAGGGCCTGGGTAAGGGGTGGGGGGAGGCCCTCTCTTCAATGGTGTCTACACTCAGCTGCACCAGCAGGACAGACTTAGGTTCCTTCACTTCAGTGATTTGCAGGAGGACAGAGTCTCTTGACAGTATTTATAGCAGTTCAGTGCCAGAAACGCAGAATGACAGTGCGATATCCTGCCCTGGGGTTCTTAAAGGAGGACTCTCATTTTTAGCATCTTTATAGTCATCATAGGATATTTGCCTCTTGAGAAGTAAAGAAATGCACCCCACCACCAATTTGGGGCCAGAAAAGCTGGGTTATAAGGATTGAAGTATGCAAGAAAACAAATGTCCAATTACAGCAGAAAGCTGGAGGGTGTTCCCAGGTGCGACCTCGGCAGCATCATGCCCATCATCACCAGGCGGTTTTCATCAGTGTGCTTCATCCTGTGCAAACTCAAGCTCATCTTAGGAGCCCTCAACGTACAGCTAATAAAGCAACACACTGAAAAGTTTTAGTAGGTCAGCTAATTAATTCCAAGCAAAGACAAACCTGAGCGATTGAACTTAAGAAACAAATACCAGGTTTTAAAAGACAAGACACATGAATAGACTGCAAGTGTTAAGAACTTGAACCTAAATTATGTTTTAACCAAGGAGGAATTGTTCTTTGCTTTCCCCATCCTGCACTCTGTAGTTCGAACACGGTCTGTCTTCATAGCCACACCCGAGCAGTCTAAATGCCAGCATCTGAGGACTCTTTAGGATGTCCTCAGATGTTGCCACTCACCTTGGATAGGTCCACCAGGGTGTTGGCTTGGTCGCTCAGCTTCCTCTGCTCCATCTTGACACTCCTCAGTCTGTGGGAAAGAGTGGTAACAGCCACAGTCTTCAAGTGCATGTTAAGGTTTAGACCTACAAGCAGATTCCTCATTCACATCAGTTCATCTGGTTTTGGAACCCAGCACGGGAACCTTGGTCATGGGTGATGACTGACCAGAATCAAGGGCTTGTCAGTTCCCCAAGAAAGCAAAGAATTATTTCCATGCCTACTTGCCTTGTATCGCTTTGGCTCCCTCGCTCCTCCCAGATCATTTTCCAGCTCCTATGCCTTTGTCTAGGCTACACCTTCCACCTTGAACGCCCTACTCTTGGCCTTTCGGGGTTTCCCCAAAACCTCCAGGTCAGAATAACTGTTTCCATCCTTTACCTTATCACTATACTTTAAAAGTATGTCTCTTATAGAAAGCACTAACCACAATTTGTTCTGCTTCAAGTTGTAATGTGTGTGTGCATGTGCGTGTGCGTGTGCGTGTGTGTGTGTGTGTGTGTGTGTGGACTGTGAGAACCCTTAGAGGCTCTCACTCTAATTTTTACCTTCCTAGCAGCCTGCCCAAAGTCTGGCAGTGGCGGGCACACCAAATGAATAAACAGACTGATCTGGGTCCCATTTACCGCCCCTAGTGCTTACTGAGTGGGAGAGAATGGATTTCTCCTATGCTTCTAAGTGTATAAGGGCTTACTGGTAGAGCTGTGGGCATCCTACCCTTCCTAATGTGGTCGTCTGATGGCCCGATCTCCCCGGCATACTCACTGGTGGATAGCTTGGAGGAACTTCCTCTGGTGTTTCCTGACTTTGGCGTGATCAATCTTCTTTAATAGCTTTGTGTGTTTATAGATGAGCCATGTTTCCCGAAGGACATTGGCTGCAGCATTCTTAATCTAAGGGAAAGTAAACAAAACACGTTGCTATCTGGTTAATATTTTGTTTCACATAAGATCTTTTTCTGTCTGCTTATATAGTCTATCTTATAAGGAAGCAATCTTGCAGTGATCTAATTCCTTAATCAAATCATGAACTCCTAGGATGAATGATTAAAATTCACCTCTTACTAACCCTGGATTGGCTGCAGTACATTGATGCCTGAAGTTCAGGGTGTTTCTTGTTCCTGCCTCGTTGTTTCAGGACTGCCTCTGACTGTTGCTGGTGCTATGTTTAGACAAGCTCATTAACAAGATCTGGGTCCTGGGGCACCTTTTGAATAGATAAATATATACCATTGCCCACGCCTGCAGAGTCCCAGTTCTGAGACTTCCATGGGACATGTTTTGCATTCAGAGAGTAAACAGATTTCCTATCAGCTGGAGATTTTTAGCCTTTGAGCAAAAGCCTTTCCCACCAAACGAAACTATAGGTGTTAACAAGTTCATCGCTTCCTTTCCCAAATGGCCAAAAAATTTACACTGCAATTTCACATGTAACTGGAGTTGGCATTAAACGGAAATAATATAAAGCAGCATCTGAAAATTGGTGAAGATATTTAGGGGTGAAAACAGAGCTGCCTCTTTCCCCAGTCCATCCCCTTCACTGTGCACGGCACCCACAAGTTTCAGAGATGACGCCGCCATCTGTGGACAGGGACACCACTGATATCACCCGGCCTGAGACGGAGCTGAGGCATATCAATGGCATCCAGATGGCTGGGAACAGTTTAGTCCAAACACAGACATCCTGAGCAATTAGTAACAAGAGCAAGAGGAAACATTTCTTATTAAGCACAAGCTAAACAGATTTTTGGTTAACCATTCCCATTTCTGTCAGCCATGCACATTGGCGCAGGCCCACAGGCCGGGGGCCTGAAGGAAGTAGGCCAGCCTAGTGGAAATCAGTTCACTAGCCAGAAAAGATTTTAATAAAACTGGAGAGTACAAGCCAGCTTCTTCAGACTGACACTAACAGATGGGACGTTGTTAGAAGACTGAGACATTCGGGAAGGCTTAGGAAACATTGTTTTGCAGGCTGATAACTTGTGTGTGTATGTTTCAAAAATTTATTGCTAAGACTGGATTACATTTTTCTTTGGTGCAGAAGTGATGTTTTTAAAAGAACAGCTAAGTCTTCTCAGAAATGTCTAAGTGACATAAATGTTGCTTTTTGTTGTTGTTGTTCAGTAAAAATCCCCTGTAAAAATGGTTTTAATGACTTCATGGCCCACCTCTGGTAATTTGTCACTTGAAAGGAAGCAGGTAGTGGTGAGCATAAGCTGGAAACAGTGAGTGTCCAGGTGAGGAGAGGGGAGGGGCCGGAGGGGTGGTCTCGGGGTTCTGTCCAGGGCCTGGAGCAGACAGCAGCCAGGAGGCACAAAGGGAACCGCTTCTCTCTGCGTCCACACACTCCTGCTGTCTTTTGTAGGGAGAGGGCACTCTGACATGTGATCTCCTCAGTCTCCCTGGGTGCGTAGCCTCCAAACAGATCCTCCCAGAAAAACAGTAGGGCAGAGCCCTGCCCCGGCGTGTAGGAAGCCCAGCAGAGCCCCAGCTCCAAGACTCCAGGTCGGAGTACGGATTAAAGGCGCTCGCTAATGGGCCTTTGACCGTCCGCTCTGTGTCTGTGTGGAACAAACATTTGCATTTGAAAAGCCTGCAAGTGTCCCAGCAGTTATTAAGCAGTTGAGGAGTAAATGCTTAATTATCTGTAAGATGGGAAAAATCAATCCTTTCTTCAAGGGTTGATAATGAAGCCCAAACAAGGCAGTGGGGAGGGTGCCGATGGTCTGAGGCTCACAGCTAACACCAGCACAGGTCTGAGCACTTCATGTGTGTGAATCAGTTCATCTGCACAACAACCCCATCGGGCAGGTACTAATATTATCCCCACTCTATAGATGAAGAAACTGAGACACAGACCAAGACCATAAAATTTGAAATGGCAAACTGAATCAAAGTGGATTTAAGTGCTATATAAACTGTAAACATAATGATATTAGTTATTATCATCTAGCCCGAACCCCTGTGTGAAAGGAAACAGCTTCAGAGAGAGGATGTGAGGGCCAGAATCACACAACTCGCTAACAGCGAAGTCCAAACAAAAGACAGGTCCAAGAAGAGCAGACGGTTTTCATGTGGGCTGAAGAAAGACCTGACTGGATTTGATCTCTACACAAACAAAATTATTTCCTGTTTTCCGGGACCAAGGAATTGGAAAGGACATTCGAAATTGCTTTAAATCATCTTGGCCTTCACTTAGCAATATGACAGAACAGGGAGTCCGTGTCCTACACTCCACCCCAGATGTAAAGTACTGAAATCACGGCGCGGCCTGGGCATCTGAGAGACGCTGTCACATCATCTTTATTCGTTTGAAAGGAGGCCCCTGCGTATTCGGGAAACTGATGTTAAATCAAGACTGGGTGCTGACTCTGAAATTAATTGCCAGTAAACAGCCTGGCACAAAGCTAAGTAGATCAATATCTGCAAGAGAAAAAGAAATAGGCTTTTAACTGCACTATACTTTCCCAGGTTGACAGTAACTGCTTCTGCGACCAGGGTCTCTCTTCAATTCACCTGGCTGATGAGCCTCATTAGGCTGGGGAGCCGTTGAGGTCATGTGCCTTTCCTATGATTCGCTGAACCCCTGATGGGGGCTTGGGCACCTTCTGAGCTCTCCTGGTGGATGGGGGCACCAGGGCCAAAAGGTGGGGTGGGGTGGGATGGGGTGGGATGGGTCAGGGCACTGGGAAAACCGGAGCAAGGCTAGACACAATCAGATGGGTTCGGGGATGGTTAGAAGAGGACCTCTGTGTGTGAAAGGCTGGCTATTCTATTCCCCAAACCCATAAGCCTATGAGTTGTTTTCTCTCTATATGTTCTCTACCAAAAAAAAATGTATGCTTTTATTCTGATGAATGCCAGAGATTGGGCTCAGTGACCTACATACTTTAGGAAGGGCTCTAAGACTAATGAGGTTGAGCAAGGAAGTCATCTAAATAAGATCTTGCAAATAGTAGCGACAGTGAACATTGACTGAGCCGGCTCTGTGCCACACATTTTGTGTTTACAGGTTTTTATTGGCCCTCAGAAAAACCTCGCAAGTGGACACAATTATTATCTTCTCCTTGGACCTGTTACTAAATCTCTCTGAGACTCAATTTTCTTCAAAAAATATTTACCACCCTGGCCAGTTTGGCTCAGCGGTTAGAGTGTCAGCCCACGGATTAGAGTCCCGGGATCGGTTCCCACTAAGGGCACATACCTTGGTTGCAGTTTGTCCCCGGCCCAGGTTGGGGTTGTGTGGGTGGCAGCCACTTGATGTGTCTCTCTCACATCAATGTTTCTCTCTCTCTCTCTTCCTCCCTCTCTCCTTTCCACTCCATCTGAAGATGAATGCAAAAAAAAAAAAAAGTCCTCGGGTGAGGATAAAAAACAAAACAAAACAAAAACATTTACCAAGCCCTGACCAAGAGGCAGACACTGTTCTAGGAAGTGAGGAGACGAAGATATACAGACCGATCACATTCAAGTCCTCGTGGAGTTTGTAATCTTGTGAAGACAGAATGCAGTATCAGGTATTAAATGCTTCCAGAGAAAAATACAACAGGGAGATATCTCGATATGATGCTAGTGCTACAGATCTGTAAAATGGGATTGTAGTGCTGATTAAATGAGAATATACTTAAACACTTGGCACAGAGCCTGGCCACAGTACTCTTCAATATATGGTAATTCTCCACCCCCCCCCCAAATAAATGTCACCTACTCTCTCTTCCCTCCTTCCTAACAAAAGAGAACATTGACTATAACACATATGCCTGTTCCTTGAGCTCTTGGCCATTGCACCCAAGTCAATGGCTTGCTCTGGCCACCTCTTTGCACGGTGACCTGCCACTCAGTGTTACAGAGGGGCCAGTGGTTACAGGAGGAGCACGAGGCAGTGTGAGAGAGGCGCCCTTGTTGGACCCCTGCCCCCCATGTCTCCAGAAGCAACAGGGAGACCTGGGAGAGTAATCCCAGGAGTCCCATGGAAGACATCGCTGGCATGTCCACTCGGCTGCCAGGAACCCTGCCCAGGGAAAGGGTGTCCACGGGGAGGTTGGAGAGGGGAGAAGGGAGGAGGGAAGGTCAGGCTGCAGATTAAGTGTGACTTTAAGGAATTACACAAGCTGCTTTAGAGGAACTGAAGGCTGATGAACATCACAATCCGAGAACCTAAAGCCAGCTCCATCTTCAGACACCTGACCGGAGGTGTCCATTGGACCAGGGTGGGGAACAAGGGTGCGCATCTTCCACCTCTACCAGCCCCTCTCCCCTTACCCTCAGCCACACTGACTTTCTGCAGCTGCCACGTCTTTTGTCTCCCTCCTTCTTCGCTCTCTCCTTCCTCCCCGTCCTGCTCCACCCTCCCTTCTTAGGCTTTCCTGCCCCCTTCACCTGGAGCCATCCCTGAACTGGGGCGCCACCCCCAGGCCTGGCAGGACATTTGGGCAGGGAGCAAGAAGAGAGGTATTTCTGTGGTTCAGAACTGGAGTTTGAAGCTCTTTCCCCCCAGCAGTATGGCAATGATGGTGCTGGTTTCTGTAATGCTAGTCATGTGATGCTCAGTGAGTTTGGAGGTAAACTGGCTTTTCTCTCGAGCAGGCCGGAACCCTAGCCTCCATGCTGAGCTTCAAGGGACTGACTGCTCTGGAAAATCCACTGGGTGATGGCTGGAGAGTGGTCGGCAGGCCTGGGAACAAACTAGCCTGGCTAGGACCCAGCTGCTGTGCACCGCTGGGCCCCCCTCGCCCATCACCGGGCCGAGGGGCACATTCCTAAGGATCCTCTCAGCTCAAAAGCTCAGTTTCTATGACTACTGTCCCAACCTGTATGGGACAAAACCCTTGTGGGTAATGAAATGTATAATCCCCTTCTGGGGAGAATTAGCATTCCTGATGACTGCTCAATCAATCACCTGATACATTTTAAAGAGATTATGACCTGTTCTGGGGATCCACTCTTGGGACCAACCAGTTGTCAGCCATGAATCTAGTGTCCTTTAACCAGACTTTCTGTACCTGGTACAACAATGACTACTTGTCTTTTCCTATAAAATATCTTACTATGAATAAATCTTTGAATTAGTCTGCTGGGAAAAAAAATGTTCTGCTTTTTGCGCAGGATTGTGATAAAACTTTGACATATGCTCATAATTCTAAGTTTTCTTCTGCACTGTTCAGTAGGGATGGAGGGATTATTACAGGTTTCTGAGCAGGGTGCTGATAGATTCAGAGCTAAGTCTCAGAGTCTAAGGAGACGCACACGGAGGCAAAGTGGAGGATGATGGGGTAAGGGAGGACCATGGGCAGAAGGGCTAGCAAGCAGCTATGACGGTACAAACTGCGCTGATGGTGGCTTTAGGTGGGCAGAGGGCCCTGAGGGACCAGCGCGTGAGCAGCCATGGCCACGGCGAGGTCAATTCAGGCTCAGACACTGCTCGTACCCCGGTGGGTCCAGATGGTGCTAAGTTTTCAGGCATGAAGACAGTGAAGTCATTAGCTGACCATGAAGTTGGGAGAGGAACTAATTTAGAGAAGATTTAGGTTTGGTTTGGGTTTGGGTTCATGGGAAAATGTACTTGGATGAAGTATTTGGGGCAAGAACCCCTTGTGGCCAGGACAGAGACACAGTCCTCAGCCAGTGGCACACCCGGGGTGCTGTGTGTAGGTCAGATGTGAGGAGAAGGCATAGCAAACAGAACATCTGTCCACAGTGACTCTGAAGCCCAGTGTGGCCCTGGGCAGCCTATCTTGCCTTTAGAAAAGAGAGGTGCTTTCTCAGGGCAGGCAGTAAAGGTGAGGACTGGGACCATCTCTCACTCATCTCGATGTCCCCAGAGCATTAACTGTGGCATCCAGCAGGTGACCCTGTGATGGATGTGTTTAGTTACACAGAACAGAGAGACGGGGCCATGTAGCATCGAGTGGGAGAAAAACGGGGACCTAGTGTCTTCTTTACAGTCTCTCTGTGTGTCATTTACATACATATTATCTAATGGCCTAGAGGTTAGCAATAAATTATAATTATAGAATAACAATGGCAGTAACACAGCAAAGTCAGCGTGAGAAGGTCCGATGGCCTTACACACAGACACAATGCTGCCATCAGGGTTGACAAGTTACACAAGCAAAAGAAGAAAAGCCACGGGATTCAGGAAAACCAGAAACTGAGCTCTTACCCTGTGCTACCCCCACCCCACCCCCGATAAATACATAAAAATCGTGTCTCTGATTAATAGGTACAGTTCCTCGTGGGTGTTTGAAAAATGAAGGTTGCATGTGTTTGTGGAGATTGCTTTGAACTGTGAAATTGAGCTGCCTACCCCTGAGAGGTCTGGAATCATGTTACAACTGGTTCCTCCCACAACTGGATCTTTCTCTGAGATCTTATGAATAGACTGAGCCAAACATCACTTTGACCCGTGAGCCACTGCCGCTGGACACGCTGGGCCATTTGGAGAGGGCAGAGGATAGACCGGGCATGCCCCGGGGAAGGAAGGGGGGCTTCTCTGAGCAGGCCAAGCTCGCAGCCAGCTCCCCACAGTCCAGGTTGTCACTTTGGGAGTCCCAGTCCCTCCAGCTTTGAAATCCTCTCTGCCAGACCATCCCTTGTGTGTTGTTTGGTTCTCTGGGAAAGAAATACTGGACATTAAAGGGACATTTCAACAGATTATGTGTTCTGAGAAAAGTGAGATATTATTCGATTAAAATGATGCCTTGCACTCATGAATGAGCAATAAATATCTGTTGATTTGATTCTCAGTCCTACTTTCCAAGGAGTAAGTGGACTGCCCAGAGGAGGATTTTGGAGAATTATTTCTGAAAGATTAGAATTAGCAACCACAATCTCATCTCCTTTGCAACCGGATTGCAGAAATTGTTTATTTTCCTGTCATGTGAGAGAGCTGGTTTTCCCCGGTTTTATTTTCCTCTGGAGTCTGATTTACAGAGTGAAAAATGGAGAGGGCAAAGGAATAACATGAAATACATAGTATATCCTTGGTTTCAAAAAGCAAACAGAACAGAGAGACTGTCTGTGACTGCTCTAAGGAAACAGCCTCTTTTGCCTTCGGTCCTGCACTAAACGTTTCAGGGAAGGAGATGCAAGTCTATTTGCATCCAGGTGTTCCCATCACTCTTGCAATTGGCTCAGTACTAGACAAAACTTCTGCATGGGTGTGATGGGCTGGAGGAGTGCAGCCAGGTTACAGGCTGTGGTGAGACCCGGCTGGCCTACCCATGGGCACAGTCCTGCCATCTGGATGTCACAAGTTCTGTCTTCTATTGTACAAGGGACAGCTCCGGTCCACTACATACCACCTGCAGTAAGCCCTCACTTGACATGATAGACAGGTTCTTGGGAATGTGACGAAATAACATGCAACAAAGCCAATGTCACCTTCGGCTGACATACACAAGAATTAAGTTCCTACGGCATTTCATCCGTGTTATAACAAAACACCGTTGTTCGAGGACCTGCTATACACCATCTGTATGTCAACAGCATAAAAATATGTGCCTGTGCCCGTTTCGATTAACATCTGTGGAGGCTCGTAGAAAATCCGATGGGTGTAATCAAAGACCAAACAGCCGTGCACCGTAAATAATCCTGCGGAGACACTGGAGGGCCTTGGCTGCCGGCACGCTCCCGCCTTCCCAGGGGCTCGCTCGCTCTCTGCCCTTCTCCCTTCCTGCCTCTGTCTCTGTTTCTAACACATTTGTACTGTGCTGCAACATCGATCATGGAATCTTTTCTCTAGCTTTCAAAAACGCAAATCAAAATGTGGTCACTTATGGGCCTTCTAACCCACTTTCGTCCTAAACGAGAAGCGCTTGCCGGGGCGGCCACGGCCCCAGCACTGGGTTTGGATTCTCGCTCATCTCAGAAAGAGGAGGTTTTGCAGGGAATCTTACCACTGACCCTGGTTCAGCTGGCAGCACCAATGAATGTTCCGTAAGAGCTGTCATCAAACAAGCAGCTCCTGCCTGCTTGTTTCTGTCTCCTCTAAATGGACCTTTTCTTCCCTGACAATTCAAAGGGGTGTCAGATTCTCCGCAGCGAAATGCTCTCCCCGTTCCTGCATGTTTTCAGTTTTCATCCTTCGAGACCACTTTCATAAGGGTACAGATGAGAAACATTAGCCAGAAAACCCAGAAGGGGAACACTGGGTAACGACGTTGTTTGGGGATGCGAGCTCTACAGCAGCGAGCGTCTTCAATGACTTTTTTAGGGGACCGGATTCAGGTGCAGTTCCAATATCATTTTTAAGACTCTCTACTGCCCTTCCTAATGAGAATCATGAAAATGTTGGAGCATAAACAAAACCGTTGCTTCATGCTGGGTGATTTATTCAATTACCATTAGGCGAGGGAGCGAGCCACACCACTGTATGCTTTAGATTTAATGATGAGGGAAATGGTTTGGTTGCCTAAACCACGCGTGGTCATTTAGTAGAAGACAGAACTTGGAATGAGGAGGTACTCGCCCATTTTGTGGAGGCTGTTTGCAGGTGTCTGGGGCTCCCTCAGCCCCCCACAGCAAGGTGTGGCCCTAATCCACACCACATGACTACTTCCTTTCTGATTGGCTTCCCCGTTGGTCTCAAGTCCCCCGTTAAGATAGGAACAGTGGTGTTTTACCCGTTTGGTGAGCTGCGTGTCCATCATGAAGTTGTGAACATGCTTCTCCGCTTTGGTGAGTTCCAGCTTTCGGGCCACCACGGCCACCACAAGGGCAGTGCAGCCTGCACCCTGTCGGGGGACAGCAAGAGGACCAGGGGAGAGAGCACATCATTAAGAGACAAGGTTCAGGCAGAAGACTCAACGTGCCCGTGACCACGGTGGGGTTTCTGGGAGTGGAGGAGGGACTTGAGCTCTCTGGATGGTTAAAGCCACAAAACCTGCTGGGGCCCTGCCTTCTGTACCCACAAAAAGCTCTGCAACACTCTTGGATTAACTGCAAAGCTGACCTCTGGGAGACTGAGTCTCCGTAGAACTTGCCATTTCGTAATGCAGCAGGACACCGAAGGTGGCTGAAGCTTTGGGGAATTTAAAACCACGTGCAGTCACCTGGTCACCACCAGGCTGTGCAGGGATGCAGAGGGTCTGGCACACACAGGCCCCTCTCCCTCGTGTGTCCCCATCCCCCTGCCAGCTCCAGACCAGGGGCCCAGGGGGAACGAAGGCCACACAGACACTGCAGTGTGAGCGGAGCACCTTCTGGTGATGAAGACTTTTCCTGAAAATAATCTAATGAAAAGGCAACGCATTTCCCCCCAGATCGCTTCCCAGGGGAACACTAGTTGGCATGAGTCTGTTCACTGGACTGCTTGCTCCTCAGTTGGGTCTTTTTACCTGCAGGTCTAGGCTGTGACTCAGCATAAGGAAGTGATTCTTGCTTTCACCAGGAGGCTTATGAATACACCATCATGCAGAGATTTTTTTAAAGATGACAACAATCTTGCCTCAAACCAGGATTTTCAGGGAACCCACAGGGGGCCCTCAGTATTTCCCAGAGCAGCGCTCCTATTCTGCCTGGGCAGGCCTATTCCAGGGGGTATAAGGGAGGGTGAATAAAAGAAGCAGGTTTCCCCAGGACTCACGCTCTCTCTCCTGACCCTCTGGGTGTGTGCTCGACTGTCTGAGAAATGCGCTCAAAAAGGAAAGCGGCTCATTCTAACACTCTTCTGATGGGTTTTCAAGTCCCCTCCGCTGTGCTTCTCGGTTAGCCTGTGAGCACTGGGGAAAGTGAGAGATTCACCCCTCCCCTGATTCTTCTGCCAGCAGCAAAACTCTGCCCTTGCCTGGTTCTTAGAAGACAGCACACTCTCCTCAGGGGCCGGCACCTTCTCCCTGCACACTGTGCCCGGACCGCCCTGACCTCCACTCACGGGAAGAGACGATAAGCTCAGCAACAGTCTAATCCTCAGTTGCAACAATAACTAGAGTTGCCACAAAGCCTCATTTGCAGTTAAGGTTCCAGGATTGGAGGACTCAATCAATCACATTTTTAGCCCATCAGGTCTAACAGAATGTGATAGAAATGGTAAAGAATGTTCTCAAAGGTACATTATCTGTACCAGAGTTGGGAGGAATGGATATGGGTAGATCGGTGCCCTGCTGTTTCCTTTACAATCTTTTTTTTCCTCTTCCACAGGTTGACAAAGGCTAGTCTGTGGAAGGTTTTGGCATGGCTGAGGTTGGCAACACATTTCCTTAGCTTTTCACAAGGGTTCCCATGAAAACAATCTCATGTATCTTGGTACATTTGGTCATTTGGTCAGCCACCCATTTCTTTTCCTTTTTTTTTTGGCTACCTTTTTCTAGCACAACAAACTGAACCTTCCTTTTCTGACCTCAATTTCCTCTCTTGTTCAGGGACGGCCGGGTTTTCTTGGCATCTGTGACTTGCAAGAGACTCTGTGCCCAATTTTCAAAGGATATGTATGGGCAGTTGGACAGCCTAGTCTGTAGCTGTAATCAATTCAGCCAGGCCTCCAAAAGCAAAAAATAGCATAAAAGAAGCTGTCCTAGAGGGCAGGCAGGTGTGTGCTCCATTCTGCTCAACCAGATCAAGTATAATCACTCTGCTTTATATGGAGTTCCAAAGGTACTTTGGGCTGCCCAGAGAGGGATATATCAGAGTGGTAAAAATGGAACATCGGGTGGAGAGGGTTCTCCCCAGGCTCCATTCCTCCTCATCTCCTGGATCCAGGCAAAACTCTATTTAAATCACCCCTGAAAGCTGGGAATGGAACAAGCCTGAAAAAGGAGTTGCCCTGCTCATCATGCCACTTAGTGAATTTCATCAAAACAATCTCTCATCCACCTTCCTGAATTTCCAGGGTCAGGACGGAGTGCTCCGTGGTCTTGCCACAGCTCACAGTAGAGCAGTTTGAATGTAAGAGGCTTCCAGTGTATGTGATTAGGATACATTTCTGCATGGAGGCAAAAGGGTGGACTAGATGGCGTTTGTCAGTTTCTTTCTACTTAAAGATGTCAAGACTTCCCTGTGGACATCTTTCTGGAGGATGCTGGGCTCTTAACCCCTAATTCTAACTTGAATAGACAGCAGTGCATATTCCAAATTTTATTTTTCTTTTAGAAAATCCTATCATCTGGATGTAATTAGGGAAGTTGCCAATAAGGAAGCCTAACTTGGTCATTTCCATTAAGAAGCAACCTTGTGAAGCTGGGGTCAGACATCTGCATGGACAGGGTGCTGAAATCCAGACTGGGGTTCTCTCCAGAGTGTGTGTGTGTGTGTGCGTGCGTGTGCATATGTGTGTGTGTGTGTGTGTGTGTGTGTGTCAGAGAGAGGGAAGGAGAGGGGGAGGAGAGGGAAGGGAAGGGAAGAGAGGGGATGCAGAGAAAGAGAGAGAGAGAGAGAGAGACAGAGAGAGAGAGAGAGAGAGAGCGAGCACTGGAGTGGAGACAGAGATGGGAAACAAATTGTCCCAACAGCATGGGACAGAACAGGGAAAGAGGAGAGGAAGAAGCAGAAACATAAGCAAAGAGGATGAGCCAATGGGATTGAGAAAGGAAGGCAGAAAAGCAAGGAGCCTAAGACTTGATCATGGTCAACTATGGCTCTTTAGAGGAAGTAAAGGAAGTGTTATGGGACCCCCTTCCCTCCTGTTGTGCTCGCCTCTAGGTGGTGTAATGATCAACTATGTTCCTTTTGGGACCACGATCCTTTTTACTTACAGTGTATGGGTCTGATGTTCCCACGGTGGCAGCCTGGGCATACTTGTGGGATGTGGGTTGGTTTTAAGAGACAAACTGCTGAGGACTTGGCTGATTTTGGGGTGTGAGAGTGTGTGCTGTCCTGGAGTGGAATCTTAGAAATGGCTGGTGGACAGCGGGGGCATGTGAGGGGAGGATGGACTGGGGCAAACAGGAAAGGGTCAGCAGCTGCTGGTATAACTTCCATGGGGTCAGACTGTGGAGATAATCCATGACTCAGACTTTTGCCTTCAGAGGTGCCAAGCCCTGAATCACAGTTGACACCAGCTAGATTCCCTGGGTCTTCGCTGTCCGACTCCTATTTCCACGGGAGGGTGGTAGGAGGAGGTAGGTCCACCTCTAATGAGGTCAGACTGTCCGAGGTACATGGTGAGCAGGAGCACAGGGGTGAGCAGAGAGAGTAGCTGGCATGGGGTGAACATGCCTAACTTATCTCTAGATTTGGACCCAAATCAGAGACCCAGGCTCTTCCATGCTGCTCCTCCTACTTCTTGTTTCCAAGACACATTTTCCAGCTGGAAAACCTTAGAGTCTGGAAAAACAAGTGCCCCAGGGGGAAAAGTATGAGGTGTTCTTAACTAAAGGAGCATAAAATAAAAATAAAAAACATAAATGAAAGTGACAAATGGAGGAGGGAAGCCTGGAGGATTTACAGTTGGATTCTATTTCCAACTGAACAGATTCCATGTAACAACTAAAATAACATCAATTGGTTTGAAACCAAGGTGTTTTAGGGAGAAGCTCATCTTCTGAAACTGACATTGTGCAGATGTCTTGCTGATCTCTCTTTTTCCCTCCTCCAAAATGACTCAACGTGTTCTACCTTTTACTTCATCATCACTTTCCTTTTGCAGTTCAAAGAAGTATCTGTCATGAAGCCTTGGGGAAGAGCTCAGCGTCCCCAGCAGACATCCTGGGAGCTTTTGTCTATTTGTCCATAATTTATCAAAGGTCCACACGGTGAGTCCAGTTTTAGAAAATGGCTCTATTGAAACAGGGCTCCTACCAAGCAGTCTTGGGTCTTCCAGATGCCTGTAGAACCACAAAGCCTCCGAAGGCATCTCTGTAAGGTTTGTTGTCGTCTCCAATTCTGGATACTAAGTATCGAGAGCTTGCTCTCTGCGTTGTAACTGTCATAAAATTCTTTATGGAAAAAACGACAGACTTTGATGTATCTGCTTTTGCGGTTGAAATCGCTCAAACACGCCAGGTCTGTGCCAACAATGTCAAGTTGTTCAGACAATTATATACCCTGCTTAATGGTTGATAATTACACCGTCACTGGGATTGCCAAGAGAAAACAATGATTAAGACTATTTACAGCCCGCACACACAAATCTTTCCTTTCCCTGCCCGGGCAGGCCCCGTCTCGTCTTGGCCTGCACAGTGGCCATGGTAACCAAACAGGAAGCCATACCTTTACTTAAGGCACTTGCAGTAATAACTGGGAGATGTACACAGTGCTGGGAGCCTGGGGGAGGGGATAAAGGGATTTTTTCAGCCACCAGAAACCCTTGAAAGGAGCGACTCAGGTAGAAAAGTCACATTCTTTAGAAAAATGCCTCTGGGGTTCGGCACTGACCCCAGAGTGAGGCAACTGGCTTTAATTTGGGTAAAAACACTGAGATGAACGGAGGAACCTTCCCTGTTCCTGTGTATAGAGAGGTATCGGTTTATGCAAAGGGTTCATGCAAAAGGAGAAGGTGGGAGGCTATGTTGTATTTTTTATATGGGAGGTGGAATTGGTTCCTCCCCATCCGTTTGTGCTTCCAAGTTTGAATACAACTCTCTCCTCAAGGAACAGACACTCCCTTCCAAGGAGCTGCTGCAGGATGGGAGCAAACAAGGGTGCTGGAGACCACGCTCCAAGGAGAAGGCGGGGAAGGGGCCACCGGGTCCTGCCTGCCCCACTCGGCTTTGTCAGCGACAAGCCAGGAGATGCCTGCCAGAGGGAAAGAAGCTAAGGGGCTGCTCTTTGGATGGGACACAGCTCCTTGCTGAGAGGGAGAATGACTCGTATTTAAAATAACAGAGGCCTCCAGCAGGGCCCGCTCACCTAGTGGCCACCCACCCTGCCTGCCCACTCTCTCTGTGCCTGCCTTGGCTCAGCGCTGGTTCTGAGCACAAGCCCACCCCCCAGGGGTCTCTGAGGCAGGAAAGCGCTGGTCTTCAGGCAGCATGTCATTCCTTGCTGAAAGAATCATTCTCTGGTTTCCTGGTGACAGCTGGAGCTGTGCCAGACACTCCTACTAACCAATGGGAGGTGTTTGTTTCAAGGCCTTACACTCACCCGTGATTTATCCCAACCCTGTGCGAAACCTTTTGTCATGAACTGCTGTTCAGGGGACCTGCCTGCCTGTGTGCACCTGCCCTGGGTTTTAGTGGAAAAGGAGAGAGGACTGTGCCCAGTGGTGAGGTGGCAGCCCTGGGCCCCTCCTGCTCAGAGGGCCCGTGGCCCCAGGCCTCTGCTTTGAGCCCCCTGCTTTGTCACCGAGATCAGTCCCAGGAGGCCACCAGGCGTCGGCGGGGTGGGAGTGGAGAAGCCTCCACACCTGGTGAGGGGTTAATCCCCTTTCTACTGCAGAAAAAGTCATTTCTTTTCCGAAGGAGGCTTGTTTTTTCCTCCTGGGAGAATGAATGAAATCTGAGGGGGACTGAAAGGAAGGATCTCCATGGGAGCATAATGGGGAGCAAAGAAGGCTCCCCGGGAGAGGGCTGTGGGACCACCCATGGAGACCTGGGACAAGCTACAGACATCCTGTCCACCCTCACGCCCCCACCAGACCCCAGCGATGCCCAGGCTCAGATGGGTGCTTTCTTCTCTGGAGCCTGTGTTCTAGGGTTCCAGGGCCTAAAGCTCAACAAGGCCAAGGAGCCTCCTCACCCAGCCAGGGGAGGGGGCTGGGGGTCAGGGACGCTGAGGACCCCACCAACGCTGATGGCATCTGTAGCTCCTCGTGCTGAGGAAGCTCACTGACAAAAGCATTGCCTTGCGTCCTCCCACCAGCCAGTGAGGAGGGCAGGGCCGGCCCCCAGCCTCGCTGTGTACTGGAGGGCGCTGAGGTCCCGCAGGCTGAGTGCTCCGCCCAGGTCCACAGTGAGGACGGCAGTGGGAATTCAGACTCTGGTTCTGACTCCCTATCCGGGTCCCTCCCACACCCAGTGCCACGACAGTCATGTGATGGGCAAGAGTGTGTGTCCAGTGGGGGTGTCAGGACGATGGGCGGGAAAAATGCACCTCGAAAGGATGCAGCCCGGCTGCTGGGCCCCTGGGGGGAGATGGAGATGGAGTCCCAGTCGAGCCAGAGCTGGGAAGGGCCTCGCTCTTGCAGCCCAGCACCCCAAGATGTGGAAGCCAAGTGTGGGGGAGTCAAGAGCTGGCCCAGGGCCATGGAACCAAACAGTGGCCTACCCAGTCCAGGGCCCAGGTCTCCTACGGCCGGTTCACGCTCTCTCCCCAGTCCCTCCCTCCACGAGTCCCAGCTGAGCTTAGCAGATGTGGGGCCCAGGGGCGGAGGGCAGTGAACTAACCTCAGGCCTAGATGCTCACTGAGGGTGGGCACACTGCGCATTCAGACGGCGTGGGTGGAGAGGGCCAGACCGACAGCCGGCTCCACCCAGCCCGTTTTGGGGGCTGGGGGTGAGACCACTAACTGTCGGGAACCAGGGCCTTCTCCTGTCTTGGGAAAGGAAACGAAGCCATCAGAGACCATTGCAGCGCTCACGCCTGCCTCTCTGTGTGCAGGGACACGCATGCTGGCCGGTCCACTAGCAGCTCGCCCCACGCCGACCAGAAAGCCCCTCCAGGCTCGCAGAAAGGGCTCTCATTCGGAGGGTGGGGAAGGGCAATGGGCAGAGGCAGGTACTCACCATGATGCCGGTGAGAAGACAGACACCTTTCCCACAGTATGTGTGGGGCACCATGTCCCCATAACCAATGGAAAGGAATGTGATGGAGATGAGCCACATGGCACCCAGAAAGTTACTAGTTACGTCCTGCTGGTCATGGTACCTGCCAAGGGGAAGACAGGAGTTAGTCGATGGAACTGCCATTTCCAAGTAAAGGCTGTGGGCACATCTGGACGGGGAAGGAAAAGAGACCATTTGCTGAGGCAGAAGCAGCAGCGATGGCGACACACACAGGCCTCTTTGGGCGGCTGAAGGGGCCGCAACTCTGACACCCGGGTCTGCCTGCAGCGCCCTGCTCCCCCAGCCCTGCCACACGCCTGGGCCCAGAGGTGAAATGCTGTGTCATGATTCGCACCACATGGTAGATGTCCTTTTGGTGCTGGTAAAATCGCTTTGGATGAAATCCTGCGGTAATAAAATTTAGATTTTCCCTTTCCAGCTGACAGTCTAAATGTATGTGGATGTGATTAATTTGAAACCACAAGCTCCTGAAAAGGGAAAATGTAAAAAAAAAAAAAAAATCACCAAACATATTTAGCAAGGCTTCTTGAAGGTTGGTGGATCCCCAAGACTGGCACCTCCCGGCGTCTGGAGGGGGGCCCTGGTGGGTTCTCAAGAAGCAGTTTCCAGGGGTGGTTCCGGGCTCCCCACAGACGGGTGGTCTATACCTTTGAGGCCTCGTGGTTGCCTGGCCCTGGAAGGAGCCAGCTGGAAACATATCACCACCACTCCCTCTGCCCGATGCCCATTCCACCCCATCCTTTTCCTCCCTCCCTTTATCCCCAAACACCGAGGTCCACTGTGTGCCAGGCTCTGTGCCAAGTACTGAAATACAGAGATAAACAGGACCGTCCTCGGCCTCAGGGCTCTCGGCCCGGGGCAGGGTCCGTGGGGGACGCAGGCATTTGCAGAAAGGTCAGTGAGTGAGTGGCGGAGGCACCTGGAGACAGAGGAAAGGATATGACCTTTGTCCCACACGCAGGAGGGCTAATCAGGCTCCAGTTCCTAGGCGGGCCGGGGGCGGGTGCTCCAGGCTGACGGGAGCCGTAGGGACGCCCGGCCTTGACTCGAGCCCAGCAGAGGGCAGCGGCCCTAGGGGTGGCAGGGCAATGAACGTGGGTCCCCTCCCAGAATGCTCTCTAAGAAGGTAACCCTGAGTGACACACAAGGGACTCCGCATTTTATCCTGCAGGGACATCACTCCTTGGTAAACCTCTCCATCAGCCTCTGGGAGGCCCCTGGATGGGAGAGTTGAGGTGGGTCCGGGAGACCGAGCACCCCGGTGGGGTAGAGCAGAAAGCCATTCGGAAACTCTAATCCGCAGGTTGAGTTACTAAAGCGCACACATGAATCAATGCATGTGACGAACTGGGCATGCGGCCTGGCAGACGGGGCCTCCAGAGAGTGCCAGCTACTATTGCCAGTGCGCTCCTTGCCCCACAGGGCCCGGTGCCCAGTGGGTATTGGCAAATGTTGCTTTTCCTGCCCTCTCCCCCAGGTCAGGTGTGCAGGGAAGGCTGCAGGTACAGGAGCATCTGCAGACGGGCCTGCGGGAGGCAGAAGCTCTGCTAGTCAGGAAGAGGATGGTGGCACATGAGTCAAAAACACCTGGGACACAGAGTGATGGACACCGTCACTGGCTCCTACTGTACTAGGGGCAGCCACACAGCACATCCTACCGTGTGACTTGCACTTTGTGTACAAACACTCAAATTCTCAAACACCCTGTCAAGCATTTTCTCGGGAAGTAACTGGGAGCCCAGAAACGAAGTGACTTGCCCGAGGACACGCAGGGAGTAACCAAAGCAAAGTCCAAGCTCTTTCCACTGCTGCACTCAGCATGGGGGAGGGGTGGTGCTATGCGCCTTGGGCAACGGTGAAGAAGTTAGAGCAAGAAGATGGCACCTGCGCGCTGGTCACAGGGGACGAGGTGGCTTTGGAGACCAGGGGTCCAGCTTTGGAAGGCTTTGAATTTCAGGATGAGAGCTTTGGATTTGGTCTTAGAGGTTTGGTTCCTGAGCAGATGAATGACAAAGTGACAAGGACTGCCGGGAAGAGTGGTCTGCAGGCGGTGAGCAGGATGTTTACAGAGATGGAACACAGGTGGGGCAGCCAGGTGAGAAACAGGTGTGCAGTGCCAGGAGGGAGGTGCTGGTGCAGCCTGGCAGATCCCAGCGAGCACATCGTCAGTGGGCTGTTCAGCCCTGACTCCGTCCACTACCAGCAACCAGAGGGGGCGGTGTTAGCCTTTCCATAGCTGTCCTCCCAGGACACGCATGCCTGGAACTCCAGGGACATCTGCAGACTTCCCCTCCCCAGGGCTAACTAGTGAGGCACCTTACCTGCCCTCTCCTACCTGCTTCACTCACTCCCCAGTGATGCTTTATTGCCATCCTTAGGGCACCCTGGCTGGCTGCTCCTGCCAGTGGCACATTTTCCCAAGGTTGGGCCCATGTCTACTCATCTGGTCACATCAGAGCAACGAAGACAGATGGTGCCCCGCTTTGATCCCCATGATGGAGTGTGCCTTTCCCCTGACCCAGCACACCGGCCCCCTACCATCCCCACAGCCTGTGGCTCTTCCAGGCTCTCAGCCACCAGAGTCCCCTTGACTCCCGCCATGGCGCTCACGGTCTATGAGGTGGTGATGGAACATTCTTCTCTGGAGGGGTGGACTTCGGAGCCTGAGAAACAACCAGACTCAGTGACAGCTGAGTGTGGGGACCCAGGAGGGAGAAGAATGAAAGCTTCTCCCTGCCACAAGCCAGCAGCACGTAAACACGTTGTAGAGTCAGTCAGGCATCCGTTCATCAGAATGGGTTTCTCGGAAGAAGTCTTGGGTTGGAGTGGTGAGGTTATGTGGTGGGTCGGGTGGAGGTGAGCCAGTGGTCTAGGGCTTGGCTCACCTGGCTGCAGGCCCCAGCGTCACCTCAAGTAGCTCCATGGCTGTGGGCAAGGGATTTAACCTCTGTGTGACCCAGTTTCCTTGTCTGCTGATGGGAGGGTTCAGACAAAGAACCCACGGTGCTCAGCCCACAGTAAGTGCGCTAAGTGCCAGCGGTGTCTACTGTTGAGACGGGCAGGTGCTATCAGTCTGAGAAACAGTCTACAGAAAGACACAGAATAAGGATTTCTAAGTGCAGTGGGAGAGGGTCCCCACAAGGGCGTGGTGAAGACGTTTAAAATTTTGACTGGAGACCTAGATGATAGAGGGATGAAAGGAACCTACTATAAGTTTTTGGACAAAGAAAGGACACAAGACACTTGGCATATAAAATGATTCTTCCAGCAGCTGCATGCAATTCAAGTGAAAGAGAGCAGGAAGACCTGCTAGAAAGTTTGCAGATGCACAAGAAGCGATGAGAGCCTTGAAGGCTGGACCATGGGGTCTGGGTTGAGTTTGCAGCCTCTCTTGCTTGTACTTTCTTGGCTGTGCCGTGTACACAGGTCTCCACAGTCCTCCTTTCCTTGCAGACCCTGAGGCTTAAATGAGTGTCCCTGGCTGCTCAGATGCCCTCAGGACCATGGACCACCCTACTCACACATGGACTCGACGTAAAGAGATTAGAGCTCAAAGTGGAATTAAGCACATGGCAGCAAGTCATCTGTCTCTTTTTACAGTTGATGTTTGATTTACTGCTTTATTTTTCTCTAAATTCCCTTTATGTGCCTTTGGGTTTCTTTTTCGTTCACCATATAAAATCCTGCTGGTGCTGACTATGTGTGTGAGGAGGAGAAGTGCATCTTGAGGAGGTTACTCATTCATCATTTGTCAGACTTCAACAATCTCTGTCCTCCGGCAGGGGCTCTCAAAGACGTCAAGATGAATCGGACAGACATACCCTCCTGTGGCTTGGAGCATCGTCATGGAGGTAGGACACGCATGCAACCCGCCAAGCAGGACATGACGAGTGAGCAAGCAGGCCTGGTGATTCATACAGGGGGTGGGGTGAGGGTGGGGAGGCCGAAATTATTAAACTTATTCACAATTTTACAGTGGCTTACAGTAGTCACAAGTTCACATACGGATTTCATGCTATTTTCTATAATCAATAATTTTTTGGGGGAAAAATAGTTCCCTCTTTTTCTTTAAGGGCTAAAAAGGAAAAGGTGTAGTTTTTTTTGGGCGGGGGCAGGGTTATTATGCTTATTCATTTATCATTAGGATGTGAACTGTGATTTTTTTCACTTTTTAATATTATGAAATAAATGTATGACGGGGTCAAGGTGTTGGATTAAACACATATGCTGCTTTTGCCCCTTTTCAAGTCCCTCTGCAACTAGCAGTTTTGGTCCCATGCTTTTACAAATAAACAGACAGCCAGGAATCCCCAGACAGCTGAGCCAAGTCTCTAGCATCAGGCACAGACCAGATTAGTCAATTAAACAAAGAAACAGAACTCTGGATCAAATACAGGCCATTCACAGAGAACTCTTGGAAAAAATCCTGTAATTAACATCGTAAGAGAGATAAAACAAATATTGGACCCATGGGACCAGAATGGCGCCCTTTCTCAGGAAGCTACAGGAGGGTGTGCGGCACCAAAACAAAGGAGCACCCCCCTAAAAAAGGAAGCCCTAGTCATGTGGGTGGCAGCCACTCGATGTGTCCCTTTCACGTCGATGTTTCTCTCTCTCTCTTTCTTTCTCTCTCTCCCTCCCACTCTATCTGAATAAAAAATCAAAAAATGTCCTTGGGTGAAGATAAAAAAAAGGAAGCCCTAGGGGGAGGGCACTGGAGACAGCAGAGGAGAGGCCCAGGGTGAAGGCCACGCACCAGGCATGGAGGCCACCAGTCCAGACTGGAGCACGTCAGAGGCTCCGGGAGACATTTCTCCAAGAAGATGAAATTGATAGAAAACCTGATGTGCCTGAACATCTGGAGAAGAGATTTAGACAACCACAGAAACTGGAGTTGAATTAGTGATAAATATATAGAAAACTAAGCAAATGAATGAACATGATAATTAACCAGAGAAAAACAAAACTTCTGCAGGAAATGAGAAATCATCCTTTACTACAAAGGCTCAGCTATGAATAGAGTCAAATTAGTGTTGACTGAGCAATGCAAACACTGATTACTGATCTAACCAAAATTATAAC